ATTTATTGAGCACACCACTCCTAAGCCAGCTAATTCAGATATTCCCAGAAGACATCTCCACATGCAGAGTCTCCATAATATCTCTTTATTAACACATTTCTTATTGGGAAAAATGACGAACGTTTATTGAGCACACCACTAACTGTGGTAGCAGTTTCCATGTCAGCTTAATCTTTACATCAACCCTCCGAAGTAGCTAGGCTTATTATTCCTACATTTTACCAATAAGGAAACCATAGCTTTAAAAGATTTGATCTTACTCAAGGTTACGTATTATGAAATGTCAGCACTAGGAGTTAAACCCTGGTCTGTCTGGCTCACAGGCCCATTTTGCTGACCAGAGTGCCACACTGGAAACCTTCTCCATCTCTGCATGTCCCAAATGGGTTCAGTTGTCCCATCATTCGTTTAAGCAGGGGAAAAAGATGGTGAGTAGAAATAGAAGTCAGGAATCCTAAAAAAAATAAATTAGTCTCTGAATAATTCATTAAGTTATAATTCTCTCTAATGATATAAAGTCTTTAGAAAATAATTAATGATTTAAAACTCAATTCTGTCAACAGAAACAAGGATGCTCGTTTTGAACTGGAGACCTGGGGGCTGCATTTTGGATGCCAGATGTCTCTGACTGGGCGGGTTTTGCCTTCAGAAAAAATATTAATGCAAGACCATGTAGTAAGTACTGTGATTCTTTTTTCATTTAAAAGTATTTGCTTAAATATGTGTACATTTGACCGTATGCAAGAGTGACTAGTGGTCTTCTAATAGTCGTTTGGTTTCTCCATGTCCATGTCCTCCCTTTGTCCTAAACCTTGAGGTCCCTTCTGTTTTCCTTTTCAATCTGAGTGTACTTGTGAGGACTTAGCACCCACTGGACCTGATTTAGGTCAGTGTGGTTTGGTTTCTCATTTAACGACGGATTAGAAAAATGGCATTTCAAGCTATGACAATTAAAACATGCCCACCTATTAGGTGTTGTAGTACTCTTCTCTCTCTCTCTCTCTCTCACACACACACACAATCCATAGTACCTGAGAAAATGTTTTAACTGGTGAGAGTTAATTCCAATAGACTGTGTTTCCTGATACCAGGGTTCTTTCTTTCCCCCCAAAGTAAAATGCTGCTTGGTTGGCATCAACATGAAGGAATGTGCCCAGAGCCCATCCCCAGCCCATCCCCAGGGAGAGGGGCATTCTGAAACCTGAAGAGACACCTCTTTCAGGCTTCAGTTGAAGAAATGAACCTATTTTGTGCAAAAATGGTGCATTATCTTTCTACTTTCTCCTCTGTTTTGCTAGTTTTTAAAGCCAATTACATATTTCATTTTTAAAGGCCCTCTTCTCATCTTTCTCTCATATAATAAGCTGACATGTCTAAATGAATGTAACTGAGCAACGGAAGTTTCGTGTTGGTGGCATGGGAATTTTTCATCATTTCTTTTCTATAATCTATCCAAGTTACCAAAACCCTCACTGGAGAAGCTGAGGAAAAACTACTTTTTTTTTTTTTTTTTATTCTTATGTTAATCCCCATACATTACATCATTAGTTCTAGATGAAGTGTTCCATGATTCATTGTTTGTGCATAACACCCAGTGCTCCATGCAGAACGTGCCCTCCTCAATACCCACCACCAGGCCAACCCATCCTCCCACCCCCCTCCCCTCTAGAACCCCCAGCCTGTTTTTCAGAGTCCATCGTCTCTCATGGTTCGTCCACCCCTCCGATAGGAAAAACTCCTTCTAAAAGCAAAACAGAACCAAAGTTTATAAAGTACCAAAAAGTAGGCCCCCATTAAGATTTTGGTCAGGAGTCAATAAAGAGAAGCTCAGTTTCGATTCCACATATGAAGTAGGATTTAAATATTTAATATGATTTATATCAGCATCCCTGTAAGCAAAATCATATTTCTCAGAGCTATTTTGTTGCATTTCTTTAGCATGGAAACAGGTCTTAGGAGAAGGGGCACTAAAATGGGAGAACCCGCCCCCTAGCGGTGGTCATGGGCTTCTGGACCAATGCTTGCTTTTCTGAACTTGGGTTCTAGGAACTGAGTAGACTAAAGGTCACAGGCCTCAGAGTGTCTTGGGCAGTTTTCCCGGGTCTTCCACCAGCCCATAACAATAGTAGGAGTGGAGGTGCTCCTCATGCTGGTCGTAATGGAAAGAATGAACCGTGACTCCAGAGAGAACCGTTGATGGAGGGCTAAACTTACCCCTTCGTTCTTTAAGGTTGCCTCCCGGAACTGACCCTGCCTGGCCACCTAATGGCAGGGCATTATGAGGGTGCCTGTGGTTGGATTTCAGAGTGCTTGGTGGAAAGTACAACGTTCCTGATTGCAACGTCAGGAAGACCAATCTAAATCTGTCACTGTACCAACTGACTCCATAATGTCTCTCAGCCATAGCTTTGGAGTCTGTAAAACAAGGGGATTGGAATACTTCTTAAACGTTCATGTGCTGATGAATGACTGGGAACATGTTAACATGCAGATTCCGATCCAGTGGGTCTGGGATGGGGCCGAGGACTCTGCGTTTCTGACAAGCTCTCAGTAGATAGCCATGCTAAGCAGCAAGGGATTCGATTACAGTGTGGTCCTTTTTCAGTTCTAACAGTGGCTCTTCCTGGCTCACTATACCAAGGACATTTCCATTCAATTCCTGTTGTGGAAATAAGCAGAAGGCCAGTAACCAATCTAAAATCTCCGCTCTTCAGTGCAGGGAGCTTAGTTTTCCTGGTCACTTGTGGGGGGGGGGGGCGGCGGGGGTGGGACCATCCAAGAGTGAGAAAGGAGGTTGTGCCCTGGCCTCATCTTTGTTCCTAGACATAGCTACTCCTGGCATATGGTATGTTCTTAACTGCCCTGTAGTGTTTGTGAGCTGTAGTTGGATGACCTGGAGTATCAACAGTAAGCATTTTCTCTTTCAGATAGCTTTATGCCTAGAGAGACCGAATTAGCCCACTTGCCTGAGGCATTTGTATTAAAGGGCATCGATCTTAGAGCTGGAAGGGAACCTAGAGATCTTTGAACCAGGCACCTTTCTTTGCACACAGCAGAGGCGCACAAGGTAAAGGGACTTGCCCAGCCGTCTGCAGCCAGAGAGTGGCTGACCTGCGGTGATGCTCAGATGCCTCCCCTTCCAGGAAGCCCACGTAGTCTGTCTAAATGTACAGTGCTTGGATCAGTGTTTTAAGTCTGTGAATAGCAAACTGTACTAAATAGGTCTCTTACTACAAATGTGGACCATCTTAGCACAATCTTAAGTGCTCTCTGAATAAATGTGTTCAACCCTTTCATGGTCATTATTTTTCTCAGTGTCAACCTGGATCTGCTGCTGAGTGGTCCAAGAATATGCGAAATTGCAAGATTTTAAGTGCACAGTCTTTGAATAAATGGTTGATTATATGTAGCAACAGAGATGAAAATGTGACCGAGGATTTTCTGCACTGCTTGAGGAGAGTTGGAAGTTCCATGGGATTTAATGTGGACTACCCCAAAATGTGAGAATACACAGAAAATCATCCCAACTGTTTTCATCTATTAATTTGGTTTAGTTAGAAGATCAGAAACGATGGCTGATGTAGCTACAAAAGCTTTATCTCAGTAAAGTTTCGTAATATAAAGTACCAAGAAAATAGTTATAAGTAGATAGATTTTGTAGTGACTGAAGTTTTATACAGTTGAAATATATTTTATGTTGGTCTTTGTAAAACTGTTTTCACAGTTCTTTAGGCAATAGTCTCATTACTTCCAAGATCTTTTCAGTACTAGTTGGGCCATAAATCCTTAATAAGTCCGTTAACTTTTTTTTCCTTAATTCTTTCATATCAGTTGTTTATAAAACTTAATAGGAAACAGGATATTGAAAAATATAAAAGTTGCATTTCCTGACTTACTTGATAGATTTTATGCTTTATAATTTAATGTAAGAAAGAGGGGCGCCTGGGTGGTATAGTCGGTTAAGCGTCTGACCCTTGGTTTCGGTTCAGGTCGTGATCTCAGAGTCATGAGATCGAGTCCCACATTGGGCTCCACGCTGGGCATGGAGCCTCCTTGAGTTTTTCTCTCTCTCCCTCTGCCCCTGCAGCCCACTCATTCTCTCTCTCAAATAAATACCCTTTAAGAAAATTTAATGTAAAAATAGATCTGAAATAAGCTTTTCTGATTCTGTTACTGTAGTAGAAGATTATTTAGTTTCTGGGCATTTAGTCTTTGAACATTTATTGAGTGTCTACTGTATACTAGATGCTATGCCATTTGCTGGGAATGAGAAAGATAAATAAATTGCTTTCAGTTTAGTAAGGGATCTCTACATGCACAATCACTCAAAATTGGATATTGTTTGCTTTAGAAAAGCAGTAAAATTGGTCATGCCTCATTTTATTGAGCTTGATATGAGGAATGCATACTTCTTTTTGTTGCTGTTATTGTGGAAGGGCAAATGTCCTAATTGGCAAGGTGGGAAGTTATTCTTTAAACACGTGGTTACTAATTAACTACATCAGCAGTACAAGCATTGTTGAAAACCAAAGATGTCCCCAAAGTCTCATTTTACGCTGTAGTTTAGAATGCATCTCTTATCACATCTGTTAACAAATCGCCTGGTTTCAGTTTCACCTGCTCTAATTTCTTTTAACCCAGGAGCTAAAAAAGCAGGAAAAGATGAATGAAACAAGCCCAAGTCACAGACTTGGCTTGGGATGACGGCGCAAGCTCTTTCTTATGTGAATTCTACGCACAAGCCCGTGCCATGTTCTGTTCTTAGCCTGTTTTATTTGAAAGCCCATATTTTATTCCATCCTTTTATTTTTCCCATGAAGTATCCATTTCCCTGTTACATTTATTTATTTATTTATTTATTTATTTATTTATTTATTTTAGAGAGAGGGAGAGTGGAGAGTGGGGAGGGAGAGGTGGGCAGAGGGAGAGAGAGAATTAAGCAGGCCGCAGAGCCCAGTGTGGGACTAGATCTCACGACCCTAAGATCATGACCTGAGCTGGAATCAAGAGCCTGGTGTTTAACTGACCGAGCCACCTAGGCGCCCCTTACCTGCTGGATTTATATGCATAGTTCCTCCTGTCTGAAACACTTGCCTGATGAGTTTGGAAAGAATGGACAGTAAGATGGCTGCTGAGTCTGCATGCAAGAGATTGATTTGGAAAAGTCAGGAACATTTAGTTGTTTTCAGAGCTGCGGGCCATTCTTGGAGCTCAGTTAGAATCAGTGAGCAGGGAACAGTGGTCCTGCCACCTGCTGGGCAAGTTTTAAAAGGCCACTGGGCATTAGGACAGTCCAATCCTATATACCTCTCAGAAGCTGATTCTACATAAAGAAACTATCTATGAAGTCCTCTGTGTGGGAATTACTTCTGTAGCGTCTGGCCCCTAACATAATGTAAGCACAGAACAGATAAGTACTTGCTGACTGATTGATACAGGCTAAATATTCCAGGCTCCAAACAAGCAGTCACTAAGGAAAAAAAAAATCTTTTAGTCTGAACCATTCAGATTAGCTGAATAAACTGGTCTCATTCATCTGATGATTTTTGAGACTTTTAAAGTTCTTACAGAGATTCAGTATTAGAGAAATCTTTTTTTTTTTTTTTTAAAGATTTTACTTATTTATTTGACAGAGAGAGACACAGCGAGAGAGGGAACACAAGCGGGAGTGGGAGAGAGAGAAGCAGGCTTCCTGCGGAGCAGGGAGCCCGGTGCGGGGCTCGATCTTGGGACCCTGGGACCATGACCTGAGCCGAAGGCAGACGCTTAACGACTGAGCCACCCAGGCGCCCCTAGAGAAATCTTAATTCCAGTTTAACTCAAAGCGGTTTCAGACCCATGGTATTGAGACTTGTGATTTCAAAAGCTCACTTTTAACCTCATTTTGAACACCAGAATTATTAATTGTAGGGATTATATACAATTGAGAAAACTGCATTTTCCACCAGACTATTTTTAAGCTAATAAAATTGATTAGTAAGTGTTTTGGTGTATCTTGTAGTGGGATTATAAAAAGCTGTATTATTTTTAACTCTATGATTATGTGTTACTAAAAAGGGAATTACATATCCTCAAAATTAATCTTTTTATGTAGCATAAAAGTACAAGAAAATCCAGCTGCATTCCTTAAAGCTCTACAGAAATATGTTGATCCTAATGTTCAGCTGGTAAGTATAGAATAATTTTTGTTTTGATGTATAATTTTAATTTTTTCTTTATATCTAACAGTCTTCTTTCCTTAGAAGAAAGAATGTGAACACATTCTCCCATGATATGTTTGCAAATGGCTGTGCATTTCCCCAAGAACCCAAGAAAGTATTAATCTTAGTATTTTAATCAATATTTTATTTCCTTTTCATATTTCTAATATTAATTTTTAAATACTTGTTTTTACTCCTATCTCATCCTCTTGAATGTCTACATTTTTTAACTTGCTGGGGGGTCATCTTTTATTTAAGATTTAAGATAAAGTGACTCCCATCGTACCCCATAAATGCTGGGGCCCCCAGTGTTTCAGTGGGTTCTTGGAGAGCTTGGGTTTTTCTGTGTCACTATGGCGGCTTCCTCTGGGTTCTCGCCTCTTTCCCGAGTGCCATGCCCCCTGCGCTGCATCAGCTCCCACAACTGCCTCATTTCCCAAAGCACTGTGTGTGTGCATGGGTGGAGCTGGCTTGGTGGAGGGTTTGGGGCCAAGGCATGAGTAGAGCACACCCCAACACTGCAGACAAGTTGAAATTGGCATCCTTGTTCTTGAAAATCTCTCAGCCTTTCTTATTTCTTGGAAATGCTTTCTCTTGTCCCAGGCCCCAGCCTCTCACTGCACTGTAGTATCTTACCTCCCTAGCACATGCGTCCAGACTCCCAGCATGCCTCTGCATCTCCCGCAAAGCAGCGTAGCCATGTCTGTTTCTCTTTTAGTCAGACCCAAAAAAAGGCCCGTGGGGATGATATATTAAACAAAGGGAATTCTAACACTAAGAGCACTTTTCTCCCCTTAAAAACAAAATAAAACTTAACGAAAGATCGCAAAAATTGTACAAAGAACTCCCATATACCGGTCACCCAGATTCTCCAATTGTTGACATTTTATCGTATTTGCTTTATCATTTCCTTCCTTCCTATATCTGTCTGTCTGTCTGTCATTTTTTCCCCTGAACCGTTTGAGAGTAGGTTACAGACATGATGCCCTATTGCCCTTGAATACTTTAGTGCATATTCTCTACAAGCAAGGTCACTCTCTTGCAGAACCATGGGATAACCATCAAAAGCAGGAAACAGTAAGACCAGCTGATCCACAGACTCCATTAACATTTCTCCATTTGTCCTCAAAATGTCCTCTCTAGTAAAAGGATCTGATGCATTGCACTTAGCTGTCTTGTCTCTTTAGACCCTCCTTCAATCTGGAACAGTTCCATAGTTTTGATGACCTTCCAATTTTGAAGAGTATAGATCAGTTATTTTATATAATGTCCTTTAATTTGGGTTTGTCTGATGTTTCCTTATAATTCAATTCAGGTTATGCACTTTCGGCAAGAGTATTGCAGCAATGATCTTGTTTTCTTAATCCGTCCTACTGGGAGGTACCCCATTAAGGTGGTATCTGCCAAGTTTCTCTGTTGTACATCTACTCTTCTCTTTGTAATTAATCAGGTGTTTTTGTTTTTTGCAGAAAGATACTTTGAGACTATGTAAATATGCTGTTTCTCATCAAACTTTTACCTGCTAGTTTCAGAATCCATTGATAATTCTTATCTGAACCCATTATTACTATGGTGATTGCCAAATGGTGGCTTTCTCATTTCATACATTTAGTATGTAGCATTGTATTTCCTTCTACATTTAGTAGGTAGCATTATGTTACAAGGAAGAGCTTTCTCTTCTCCCCATTTCTTTGTTCAGTTATTTATATTGCTGTGGATTCATGGTTTCCTATTTTATTTACCAGCTTATCATCTATTACTACTGTTTATTTTGATGCCGAAATTGTTCCTGATTTTGTTAGTGGGAGACCCATTCAGATTGGTTTCTGTGTCTTTTTGACATGTCCCCATCTTTTTTGGGACACTTCCTTACTGTCTGGCACAATAAGGTATTCCAAGTTAATCTTGAAGTTTTGCTGCCCAGCTCTGGAATTAGATATTTCTCCAATGAGCCGTGATGCCTTTTGGTAGAGAACAGTATTTAGAAATCAAAATCTGGTCAACTAGGTGTGCTCATTTGTTATTGGGGTGTCACTGCCCCCTGGCTTTCTCAATGGGCATAGCTAGGAATATGTGTAGCATGTGTCTACATATATGTACTCATATATAGTTGACCCTTGAACAATGTGAGAGTTAGGGGTACAGACCCCTGCACAGCCAAAAATCCCTGTATGACTTTTGACTCCCACCAAATTTAATTCCTTAGCCAACTGTTGACTGGAAGCCCTATAACATAGTCGATTAACACATATTTTGTATTTTATATATACCATATACTGTATTCTTACAATAAAGTAAGCTAGAGAAAAGAAAATATTATTAAGATGGAACACTACATCAAAAACTAATGATGTAATGTATGGTGATTAACATAACAATAAAAAATTTAAAAAAAATCGTAAGGGAGAGGAGATACATTTACAGTACTGGACTATATTTATCAAAAAATCTGCATACAAATGGACCTGCACAGTTGTTCAAGGGTTGACTGTAGATACATACACACTTACATCTGTGTTATTACCATGTGTGTCTATGTATATGTTAAAAACATGTCCACACCTCCAGTTCCAGTCCAGTAGCACAGGGATGTGTTCCCCACATCCATGTTTGTACCTCCCTTCTCTGATGGGGGAAGCATGGCTCCTGTTATTCACATATCGCCTACACCTCCATCCCCTTGTAGGCAACAGATCTCACTTGTCTCTCACCTTCTTTTGGCCCCAGTCCCCGTTGGACCACTGCTTTGTTCTGTCACCTACCTGGCTTGGCCCCAAATTCATAGGATGGAAGGAAGACTTCTAAGAGGATTTTGCTGACAAATATATTTCCCTATTTTATATAATTAAGTGTAAATAATTTTAGCCCTTGACATTATATTTTGAACAGCCCTTGACATTATATGTTATAGGGCTTCCAGTCAACAGTTGGCTAAGTGGAAAATCACTTTGTCCTCTGCTAATCATAACAGTGCCTGTCTTTTCTATAATTTGGCTAAAAGACAGAAGATGTAGGTAGGCCAGGAGAGGCTCTTCGGAGAGAAACACCTGATAAGAAATAGGGGCGGTGAAAGAGATGGTAGAATTTAAAAATACCTGGGGACCTGAAGCTTCTTTCTCCTTATTTTCCCTCCCCCGCCATATCCTTACTCTCGAGTCAAAGTAAACAAACAAACAAATACTTGTTTGTTTATTTTATTTTTGTTGTCTAGTACCTAGTACCTAGAAAAGACCACTTTGTAAGCTAATCCTCCACTTGGCCTATGTGTGGGTCAGGCTGGGGGAGGAGATGGTGGGGAATGAGAGCTGGGGAGCCACAGGAAAGGGCCAATAAGGGGGCAGGGAGGGAGCTGGAGAAGGAGCTAGGTTAGGAGGGAATTTGGGGAGCCTAACAATCACATCAGAAGAGATGTGAGGCAGGGAAAGCCAAGAGGGATGGGTAGCTTTGGAGTGGGACTGCAGAGCAGGCGGCTGATAAAAGGGCGTTTCAAGTGGCATTGACCAATTGTCAGTGGTTAAGGGCCATTTAAGACAACTTTAGGCATGTTAGTATTTGCTTCTTCGGAATTTAAGGGCAAGAGATATTTGGAGAATCCATGCATTTATTTTTTTGAGAGAGCACACATGCGTGAGGTGGGGGGGGAGGGGCAGAGGGAGAGGGAGAAAGAGAGTCTTAAGCAGGCTTGGAGCCTAGGGCAGAGCCTGACTTCAGGGCTCCATCTCACAACCCTGAAGATCATTCATGACCTAAGCCAAAGTCAAGAGTCGGACGTTTAACCGACTGAAGTGCCCCTCAGTTTTTGTAAAGCTGCTTCTAAGCATAAGTAAACTGACATTTTTCTTCTTTTTTTTCCTTTTAGGTAATGTGTATCCTGCCTTCTAATCAGAAGAGCTACTATGATTCCATTAAAAAATATCTGAGCTCCGTCTGCCCAGTGCCGAGCCAGTGTGTGCTCACTCGGACCTTGAATAAACAGGGAATGATGATGAGCATCGCCACCAAGATCGCCATGCAGATGGCCTGCAAACTCGGAGGCGAGCTGTGGGCTGTCGAGATCCCTGTGAGCAGTCTGACAGTCTTTTCCTTTTAGCAATCAATCAGTCCTTTCATTAATTTAACAATGAAATCAAAGTGGGAGATATTTTCCCATGATCCCAGAAGTGTTTGTTTTGTTTGTTGGGTCTGTCTGTGGGCTCTGGGTTCCGGTGTGACTCGGGACACCATCCAGAAGCTGAGGTGTGGCTCCCGTTGTCTGGGAGCTTCGGGTGAGCTGTTAACAGCATGTTTCATGACCGAGAATCTGGGTTGGCAGAGACTTGGAGGGCCTTGATCTGGGACCGTCCTGCTGCTACAGGAAATCTGTGCCCCGGGGTCTCTGCTTTTATCAGCTTTCAGCAGCTGCTGGCCCTCAGAGGAGCTCTGCTCCCTGGAGGGGCCTCCCCGGGGCTCGGGCGGCCGGCAGAGCTCTGATCTTGACCTGTGGTGGGAACTGAGAAAGTCCTCTTCTCCTTCCTGAACTATTGGCCACTGTGGAAGGAAAAAGGAGGGGAGGGGATGAGAAGTGAGGGAATGTTGTCCGTTCCTTACATTTCCATCAGCAGGATGTAGGCGGGGAGCCCCGGCTGCCTCCAGGGGGTGCAGAGCCACTGAGTCGTGAGGGTCCCCTAGACATCTGAAGAGTGGGGAATGGACTTCCCCTTCAGATCCCCACAGCCCAGAGGCCCCGATAAATGACTGACCACCGCCTGGAACCTCTCCAGCCACCGAAGACACTGGTCCATCTCCCCAAAGGACGGTAGCCACTGCCGTGGGGCTCTGAAGCGAAGTGTGCACCACAGCCAGCCCTGCATCTTTTAGTCTCTTTGCTTTCTGTTTTAATAGCCTGCTTCCTCGGGCCCTTGGTCTCGCTGGTATATAGCTTCACTTAAACAGTTTAATAACTAGGGACGGTTTTTTTCAAAAGTTCATTATTTAAAAGTTCAAAAGATATTAAATCATCACTTGGGGAAATGATGCCCCATTCCATTAAATCATGAAAAATTTACTTTCACAGTTAAAGTCCCTGATGGTGGTCGGTATCGATGTCTGTAAAGATGAATTCAGCAAGGGGATGGTGGTGGTTGGATTTGTGGCCAGTATTAACCCCGGAATCACCAGGTACTTTTACAATTACCCCAACATATTCTCTAATTATTGTTTGTGGTTTAGCTAAAAACCATACAGCAGGAAACCGTTTGTATTCCTCACTCATTTTAAAAATATGAAACTTTAGTCATGAATTGATAATATCAAGATAATATGTAGCCTTATGAAAAAACTATATTTATGCAGACATCAGGACAAGCTATCACTCATATACCTATCATATTCCCAAAATGATGGGTGATGGAAATTCTTACGAATTTGTTTTCTATACATCTGCACTGTTTTGGGTACTGTACTAGGAACTTCACATATATTAAGTCAAGCCGCCTAGCTTTGGATTCAGATTGCTTGGATTTGTATCCTGATCTGCCACTTACTTATTCTGTGTCTGACATCTGGCTGTTTAAGCTTGCTGTGCGTCACTTGTAGTTACCTGTAAAATGGGGATGACAATGATGCCTATTTCATAGGGCATGTATGGAAATTACCTAAGATAAAGTGCTTAAAACACAGCCTCAATATGCTCAATACATGCGTGTTGTTATTAACACTTGCAGAGAGTTGATGTAGTTGTTCATGCAGCTGTTGAAAACATAAGCAGGTTCAGGGGTAACACATTAAATATTGACTCATAGTACTTAATAAATTGTAGTTCTTAGAATTGTTTCATTATTTGCAACTAAGCAGTGTGTTTTGAGGCTGCAGGAGCTGTTTGTGACGTATTTTATTCCTGGATGTAAGCTATTTGATTTACTCCATTAAATTTGTGGTAAGGTATATATTTGGGATGGTGAGAAACAGGAAGAGTAGCGGTGTGACTCCAAATTCATTCCAGGTTGTATGAGATCCCATCTGTCACTTCGTTAATCAAGCAGATAAAGGATTTCCAGTTTGTTAGCCACATTCCTAATTGTGTCCTTATTGGTTATATAATAATGTCGATGCATACTTACCACTAAGCCATGACTTTCATTTTCCAAGTGCTTTTATTTAATTAATGACTTAAGCAGGAGAACTTCTTCTGAAATTTAAATAAATGAATCATGTTCAGATTTCAAGTCCAAAAGGCTCATTGATAGGAGTAGAAGTTTATGCTTGAGAAATCTTTGAATATTTTGAAAGTAGATCTGCTAAACTAATAAATTCCTTTGTAATAATAATAATGTGGCTTCTATTTATTATTGCTTATTTTGTGCCAAGTACTGTGCTAAGTCCTTTATATATATTATCTAATTTAATTTTTACAACCTTATGAGGTAGTAACTACCTTACCACCTTGCATATGTCCTTGGTACAGATGAAGAAACCGAGGCTTAGGTTCACATGGCTGGTGAGCATGCCAGCAGGATTTGAACCCAACTATGTCTGATGCCAGCACTATGCTTTAGTTTCTCTTACCAATAAATTTCTTTTGGGGAGGGGAGGTGTTTAATATAATTGTGCTCATATAGCATATACAAAATCATGAGCATTAAGTACTACTCATAATGTCTGTTTCTTTTTATTTCGATTGAGGTATAATGACATACAACATTTTACCAGTTTCAGTGTTCAACCTACTGATTGAATATTTGTACATATTGCAAAATGATCACCACAGTAAGTCTAGTTAACATCATCACATGCATAGTCATAAAATTCATTTTTCTTGTGATGAGGACTTTCAAGATCTACTCTTTCAGCAACTTTCAAATGTGCAGCAAGTGTTATTAACTGTGCTCACCATGCTGTTCATTACATCCTCAAGACTGACTTATTTTCTATCAGGAAGTTTGTATCCTTCGATGTCCTTCACCCAAGGCCCCCACCCCCACCCCCTGCCTCTGGCAAACACCAGTCTGCCCCTGTATCTGGAAGCTTTTTTTTGTCTCTTCTTAATTTCACATACAAGTGAGATCATACAGTACTTGTCTTTCTCTGACTTATTTCACTTAGCCTAATGTCCTCAAGGTCCATCCATGTCATCACAAATGACAAGATTTTATTCTTTTGTGTGGCTAAATAGTATTTTGTGTGTGCGCGCATGCATGCGGCGGGCTCACACACACAAGAGTGTGTCACATCATCTTTATCCATTCTTCTGTCGGTGGACACTTAGGTTGTTCTGTTTCTTCATTTAATCCTAATGCATGTTTATAGAAGACATTTTGAATTTGAACTTTACTTTTGTGTTTTTCTCACTTTAGGTGGTTTTCTCGCTGTATCCTCCAGAGAACAACAACTGATGTTGCAGATTGCTTAAAAGTTTTCATGACTGGTACTCAAAGTATAGCAGTGGGGGTGGGCTCTGAGCGCTAGTCTTTCCGACCCAGAGTCCGTGTGCCCGTAGCAGACCAGGCGGTGGAAGCAGATGCCCTAAGCCTGCCCGAGGCGACTGTCACCCGGTGGGAGATTCCCAGCTGTGTCCTGCCCCATGCTCACAGATGCTGTAGAATCTACATGTGTCATCTGTGTGCAATAAACAGAAAGCCAACAGGAAGGGCACTTTGTAGCTGCTGGTGGCTCTGGCAAGCAGTGCAAAGACCAAAGGAATCTACCCCAGAGAAACAAGGATTGTGACAGAGTGGTGTGAGGTCTAGAACTAGGAAGGAAGCCTTTGGGGCCGGGATAGGAATGCTGGCAGATGAAGTGCTGCACAGCAGGAGAAGATGGGGAAGAAGGCAGGCGAGGAAGGGCGCCTTCTTCAGGGTGGGATGCGGTGGGAACAGTATCTGGGGCTCCCGTCCCCGTCTCCTCCCCAGCCCTGGTCGGGGTCTGGCTTTGGCGCTCCCTCGCAATGCAGCTCATACAGTTCACTTCCTCTCTTTCCCATCTATAAACTCTGGGGGTGGGGGGAGGTTGTAAATATTGTTTCCTAAAAAAGTGAATTTGGTGATGTGTGTTGGTTATGGCCTTACCTATATGATCATCTTCTGTTGAACTAAAATGAATTTCCCCGACAATAAACTCTTCTAAAACAATTGCCCAATATATACATGAAAATAAGTATTATATTATTTCACCCTCACTTCAAAACTTGATCCTTTTTTTAAAGTAGTTGTGAAAAGTTTGTGTTGAGTAAGAGTTACTGTCTGGTCTCTGTCTTGGGGCGGTTTCTGGTTGGAGTGGTGGAAATGTTCTCAGAGTTTGCATTGTCGGTGCAACTTAGAAGCGAATTGGGTGAGTCCATGGTAAGAGATGCTTTCAGAGGGGCGGCCACGTCCTTTCCTTATGTCTTCGTATTTATGCTTGTTGGGGAAGAAAATGACATGAAATTACCCAGTCTGTATCTATTGATAGCATTTAAAAAAGACTCAGAGGAACTAAATTAGTATTAATTTGGTTTTGGGAATTTGTATGTCTATTGCATGACTTCATTTATTGCTTAAATATTAAAATGTCACTACAGAGGTGTATGCTAAGTTTAAGAAGATGTTATACCATTGAAACCATTATGATTCCTCAAATAGCCGAGATGCCAAATGTTCCCTAAAGTTACCCGCTTTTATATTATTGCAGTTACAACTCAAGTTAGGAATTACCCTCTTTTATAGTGGTCCGTAATAATGGACTTCTCTAAAACATTGAACTCTAAGAGGATGTTATTCCTTGTTGGCGTCGGACGAGCCATTCTCTTCTCACCAACACCACGTTCTGCAGGAGCACTCAGCAGATGGTACGACCACAACCACGCTCTGCCGGCTCGCGTAGTCGTGTACCGGGACGGCGTAGGGGACGGGCAGCTGCAAACACTGACTGAGTACGAGGTTCCGCAGCTGCTGAGCAGTGTGACGCAAGCAAGTTCAAATGCCAGGTATTCAATTACCGCTCTTTCCCCACACTCGCGATGATCGCACATTGATTATAACTATTGAAAGGAGTATGGCTGTGTGTTTGCATCCTGTGGGTACAGCCGGATGGTTAGATTTCCCCTGGCTTGGAGCGTGGTCACGTTGCTCTTCCGTGAATAGGGTGGGGTGAGCCCGGGTGGGGGCACCTGGAGGAAGGCAGGTGTCCTGCAAAACAGCTCACGCGGAGATTCAGCAGGAAGCCCACGGGGCTGCTGGCGGGGAAGATGCTTCATGCATATTGATAAGCCGCGGAACTAAACAAGCTGCAGTTTGAAATTCAAGGCCCAAATCCAACAGCCAGGGCTAAGGCCCCTCAAGCGCAGGCCCTGGGGTGCGGCTAAGGTCGGTGGGAGGTGCTGAAAGCAGTGGAGGGCAGGGCCGGCTGGGCTGCCGATGATCAGACCACCCTAAACACCTTGCTCCGTCGCCACGTTTCTAGATTCAGTGGTGCGGTACGTTTTCCTCAGTGAGTGTGTCAAGTGTCAGGTGCAAGGAAAATACTAGAACTGACAAACGGGGGAGGATGATCATCTTAATTGGCTTCTTAAAATATTCGGAGCGCATCTTACTCCAAGCAGAGCGCCGCATTCGTCTGTCGGGTGACACCATCAGCACCATCGGCAAAGTTGCCGCCATGAGGCGCGGAGGAGCGGAGCCCGGACCTCATGAGGGACGGTCAGCGAGGAGGGAGAGCATAATGGCTTGGGGGCAGTATCGCGGCAGCTGCCTCCAGAGCCCACAGCCCAGATCTCTCCCTCCCCGCTGACCTCAGGTGACTGTGTCTATTCAGAATCACAAGCATGCAATTTAGGGCTAACAGGAATACATTTAGCAGCTGACAGAGCTAAGGAGTTTTCTTGCAATATGACATCAACTTTTAAAAGTTTCAATATTGAAAACAATAATATATATATATTT